CTCACCCTCTCCTTCCCTTCCTCTCTCTTTGGGTCCAAATAGGCTCACCAATGTTGGATGCCGGGATGGAGAAAGGGGAGGGGGAGGGAGGGGGGGAGGGAGGGGGCTCCTTGCTGCCTCTGTTGCTGCAAGCAGATTCCAGGAGGCCCCAAAGGGACTCCACAGACCCCTCCCCTTTGGTTCACATTATTAATGAATTGCCTGTTTATTTGTGACCTCTTCTGGTGACCCGTGAAGGGATGGATGGGACTCCAGGGAGAAGGGAGGAGGCCGGGTCACGCTCCAAAGATGGAGGAGGAGGAGGAGGAGGAGGAGGAAGAGGAAGGGGCTTCTGCAGCCACAGCAGCTCCTGGGTGGAGATCAGATCTCAGGTGAAGGAGCGGGAGGGGTCTGGGCCAGTGGTCACTCAGTGGGCCTTACATCATCATCATCATCATCATCATCATTATTATTGTCAAAGGCTTTCAAGGCTGGAATCATTGGGGTGTTGTGTAGTTGTGTAGTTTCTGGGCAGATGCAGGTGAAATGTCAGGAGAAAATGCTGCTAGAACACGGCCATAGAATCATAGAATCCAAGAGTTGGAAGAGACCTCCTGGGCCATCCAGTCCAACCCCATTCTGCCAAGAAGCAGGAATATTGCATTCAAATCACCCCTGACAGATGGCCATCCAGCCTGTGCTTAAAAGCTTCCAAAGAAGGAGCCTCCACCACACTCCGGGGCAGAGAGTTCCACTGCTGAACGGCTCTCACAGTCAGGAAGTTCTTCCTCATGTTCAGATGGAATCTCCTTTCTTGTAGTTCATGTCCTAGTCTCCAGGGAAGCAGAAAACAAGCTTGCTCCCTCCTCCTCCCTGTGGCTTCCTCTCACATATTTATACATGGCTATCATATCTCCTCTCAGCCTTCTCTTCTTCAGGCTAAACATGCCCAGCTCCTTAAGCCGCTCCTCATAGGGCTTGTTCTCCAGACCCTTGATCATTTTAATCGCCCTCCTCTGGACACATTCCAGCTTGTCAACATCTCTCTTGAATTGTGGTGCCAGAATTGGACACAAAATTCCAGGTGTGGTCTAACCAAAGCGGAATAGAGGGGTAGCATGACTTCCCTAGATCTAGACACTATGCTCCTATTGATGCAGGCCAAAATCCCATTGGCTTTTTTTGCCGCCACATCACATTGGCTCATGTTTAACTTGTTGTCCACGAGGACTCCAAGATCTTTTTCACACGTACTGCTCTCGAGCCAGGCCTCCCCCATTGGCTTCAGTGCTCCTCCTTGTAAACCTAACGGAAGTTCCACCTGTGTTTCCTCTTCTTCTTTGGAGAATTAAACTTTTTCCCCATCTTTCGAAAACTATAGACAAGGGTGCCTGTTTGGCCCCCAGATTATGCCCCAGTGTTCCTCCTCCTTGGGGGATATCCAGGTGGGGCTCTCCCAATACCAAAGAACAGCATCTCTCTCTCTCTCTCTCTCTCTCAATCTCCCCACCCCCCATCACATGCCCCTTCTTCTTGGAGGGGGGCTTCCAAATGTGCAGAGTCATCTGACCCTGTGACCCCTCCCTCCAATGGCTGGGAGCAGCTGCAAGGGGAGAAGGGGAAGCCCACCCCCTGCAAATTTGGCTGCCAGTTCATGGCGTGGTATTTCCTTATCTTGGCTCCCAGAGCCATGGGGTGGGAGTGAGGGGGCTTCCCAGCTCTCAGGTTTCCCCCTTGGGACTGATCACAGCAACGGACCTTAAAAGGGGGAGAGAGGCAGAAGAGGCGACCCCTCCCCTGCCTTGGGCCTGCCCCCTTTCCCTAACCCACCCTGTCACACCTTGCAGGTCCCTCTTCCTCCGAGTGCTGAATGGCAGACACGGGTTTGTAAGGGACCCCTCAAGAGCATCTAGTCCAACCCTCTAGTGATGATGCAGTGAATATATGGCTAAAGCAATCTCTAAAACAGTGGTTCTCAGTCTGTGGATCCCCAGATGTTTTGGCCTTCAACTCCCAGAAATCCTAACAACAGGCAAACTGGATGGGATTTCTGGCAGTTATAGGCCAAAACACCTGGGAACCTACAGGTTGAGAACAACTGCTCAAGAATGACCACGTAGCCTCTGTTTAAAGACTTCCAACAAGGTAACATCTTCCAAAGGGATGACATCTTCCAAACCCTACTCGTGAATGTGATTTTCCTGCTTCTTGGCAGGGGGTTGGAATGGATACCCCACAAGGCCTCTTCCAACTCTACGATTCTATCATTCTTGCAGACAAGAGGTTCTTCCTAATGTTGACTTGGAATCCCCATTCTTGTAATTTGACCCAGGAAAGGAGATTGGGACTAAGCCTAAAGAATCTACTGGCAGCAGGAGCCCTTCAGCTCTGGAATTGTTGGTGAGGATCCCTTGGCAGGCGGTTGCTTTGGAGCGAATTCAAATGACCCGATATTTTCGCAGGTGGTGGGTACGCACATTGCTGGCGGCATCCACAGGGCTTTGCAGGTTGATCTTGTTTGGAAGGAGTTTGCCTCAAAACCATCTGCAAGTGTGGAGAGAGGAAGGAAAGGGGTTGCGCATTGGGGCCCTCGTTCATTTTTGGAAGGAGAAAGGTCCTGCTTGGGCTCGAATGGGAGACTTTGCAAGGAAGCCCCATTTGAGGCAAAGAAGGCCCAACAAAGTAGAAGTTCTCATAGAGGCTTTTTGGAGACTTTGCATATCCATGTGTAAAGGAACGGGTGAAATGTTGTTTCAGGAGATGAAAATAGGGAAAACACCAGGTCCAGATGGGCCAATGATGCATGACCATAAGGCTCTCCAGGGTCAACTCAACGTGTTTTTGGAGCAAGCCATGAACAAAGCGTTAAGGAATAAATCACCAGATCCTAACAACATAGAATCATAGAATCATAGAATCAAAGAGTTGGACGAGACCTCCTGGGCCATCATCCAGTCCAACCCCGTTCTGCCAAGAAGCAGGAATATTGCATTCAAAGCACCCCTGACAGATGGCCATCCAGCCTCTGTTTCAAAGCTTCCAAAGAAGGCGCCTCCACCACACTCCAGGGCAGAGAGTTCCACTGCTGAACGGCTCTCACAGTCAGGAAGTTCTTCCTAATGTTCAGATGGAATCTCCTCTCTGTCAAATCCGTGTTGAAAGACTCATATGACTTTAATTCCTAAACAAGACTGAGATATAAAGATCCCCAAAACTATAGGCGAATGTGCTTGTTGAATAACAATGATAAAATGTTTGTTGTAATTCTAGCAAAAGGATTGGAAGGAGTTCTACAAATTTTAATCCATGAGGATCAAGCATTTTTTCAAAGCAAAGGTCATTTAGGTGACAATGTTAGGAGCATTGTGGCTATTTTTGAATATTATGAGGCTCATTATGCAAAGCAGCTTAGTATTTTGAAATGCGGAACAAGACCAAATGCACGGAGAACAGGAGACAAAGGAAGATGACAACGGCCGACGAAGTCTTGTGCATTAATTCAGGTGGACAGACTGATGGAGCTAAATGAGGAGAAACAGTGGCCCAACTTCATAGAATCCTAGAGTTGGAAGAGACCTCCTGGGCCATCATCCAGTCCAACCCCATTCTGCCAAGAAGCAGGAATGTTGCATTTAAATCACCCCTGGCAGATGGCCATCCAGCCTCTCTTTAAAAGCTTCCAAAGAAGGAGCCTCCACCAGAGAGTTCCACTGCTGAACGGCTCTCACAGTCAGGAAGTTCTTCCTCATGTTCAGATGGAATCTCCTCTCTTGTAGTTTGAAGCCATTCCTCCATTGCGTCCTAATCTCCAGGGAAGCAGAAAGGAAGCTTGCTCCCTCCTCCTTCCTGTGGCTTCCTCTCACATATTTATACATGGCTATCATGCCTCCTCTCAGCCTTCTCTTCTGCAGGCTACACATGCCCAGCTCCTTAAGCCGCTCCTCATAGGGCTTGTTCTCCAGACCCTTGATCATTTGAGTCACCCTCCTCTGGACACATTCAAAGTAGTAGAATGTTATTAGGAGAAGCGTGATCATTTAATATAACTCAAAGGGAGTTACAAATAAAAGCCATTCGATAGTTTTGTTTTTAGACCTTGCACCTGTTCTTAGGCTCATAGTTAATAATGTCTGTTAGTTTGGTTTTGGCCATTTCTGTGGACCATCCTAGGGAAGGGAACTCTGGACCAAAGTCTCAGGAATGGAGATGGCTTGCCTCCTCCTCCTCTTCCTCCTCCATGATCCTTGCTCAGGGTCTCCTCCTCCTCCTCCTGCTTCAGCTTCTCCTTTCTAAAATTTGTATTGGGGAGGGGGTTGGCCAAGAGCCCCGGGCCCTGGCGCCCTGCCTGGACCCTCCTCGGCTCAAAGCCCCTGGAATGCTTGACCTCAGCTGCTAATCCCGTCTCCTTCTTCGCAGGCGCTCTCTCCGGAGGATCATCTTGCGGCCCATCCCTGCTTATGGAGCACATTGCTGAGATGAGCGAGGCATGAGGAGCACCCTTGACACCCTCCTCACAACACACACACCCCCGGCCATGATCCGGCTCAGGCTCAGGCACCTGGCAGCACGGCAAGGCGGCCAAGGAGTCTCAGGGAGGAGGGTGGCCAGGAGTTGGCTCCATTGAGAACCCACCTGGCCTTTCTTTCATGGGATGGATGGGCGCTGGAGGAGGCTCCCAAGGTGGCTGTCATTCTCCATAGCATCATAGCGGTGCAAGAGACCCCAAGGGCCACCCTGTCCAGTCAAAGCACCCCTGACAGATGGCCATCCAGCCTCTGTTTCAAAAAGGAGACGCCACCAGACTTTCAGACAAGATCATTTTCCACTGCCCAACCGGTCTTTCCACCTGGAAGTTCTTCCTAGTGTTTAGGTAGAGTCTCTTTTCCTGCCATTTGAATCCATTGCCCCATTGTGACCTTATCTCCTGAGCAGCAGAAAGGAAGCTTGCCCTGTCCTCCTCCTTCTCCTCCTTCTCCTCAATGGGACATCCTTTCCGCTGGTTAAACCTGGCCCTCGTGTCACTTTTCCTCAGCCTTCTTTTCACCAAGGTAAACAGACCCAGCTCTCCAGGTTGTTTCTTCTATGGATTCATCCCTTCCAGGCCTTTGAGTATTTTCCTGGAGCCCTTTCTTCTTGAGCCGTTTTGCCCAGAACTGGACTCAGAGTTAGGATTCCAGGTGGGATTTGACCCAAGCAGAAGAGGGTGGGAATATGACATTTATTTGTTTGTTTGTTTGTTTGTTTATTACATTTATTTATTCTCAGCCCTTGGGCAACTCAGAGCAGTTCACCATAGCAAAATTCAATGCTTAAGACATCATAAAACAGTTTAAAGCAATTAAAACAATAACATTATAACAATCCATTACACAGCATATAACATCTCATTATTGTCCCATAATTAAAATCAAGATCCAGTCTCATCATCCAATTGGTCCGTATTCCTATATGTGTTACACCGCCTAATCAAATGCCTGCTCGAACAACCAGGTCTTCACTTTCCTCCGAAATACTAATAGGGAGGGGGCCGATCTAATTTTTGTAGGAAGGGCGTTCCACAGCCGAGGGGCCACCACCAAGAAGGCCCTGTCTCTCATCCCCTCCAGACATACTTGTGTTGCAGGCAGGACTGAGAACAGGGCCTCCCCAGATGATCTTAACATCCTAGCTGGTTCATAGGAGGAGATGTGTTCGGACAGGTAAGTTGGGCCAGAACCGTTGTTTTTATTGCTTTTTTGATCTTGGCTCTATGCTTCCATGGGGGCAGCCTAGAATCACATTGGCTTCTTTAGATGCTGCATCACACTCCGGGCTCATGTTCACCTTGCAGTCCACTAAGACTCCCAGATTTTTTTCATTTGGACTGTTTCCAGCCAGGTGCTCCCCAGGAAGGTCAATGAACAGAAGAAACGCTATCCAAGGTACATGGCTCTGCTTCACTTATATCAAAACCTTTCCTCCGTGTAGCAGCAACATGTATGATTCCAGTAGAATAACAATGAATAACGTCTCCTCCCAAAGACCGCTGCCTGAGCCAGGCATCCCTTCTTGCCTCTTTTGTGGCACATGGGCTGCGGAGTACATCCAGGTGGGGAGGTTTCTTGCACCATTGAGGGAGGCCTAGTGGGAAAGGGCTAGAGACAAGGCCAGAACCAGAACTGTCATGTGTGTGTGTGTGGGGGGGGGGGTACGTGCGTACGCAAGTTATCTTTTTTTAAAAGGGCTCTTAAGTGTATTTACCTTCTGGGTGGTGTCTGGGGGGATCTATAAGCGAGACCAGGCCTCATCTCCCCCCCCCCCCCCCCCCCACCCACCCCAAATTGCCCCTCTCTTAGAACCTGAAGAAGGTGAGGAGGGGGAGGGGATGTGTATTGCTGTGGTCTGGGAAAGCATTGCTGATGTGCCCCCCCCCCCCTTCTCCCCAGGCCAGGCCTCGGGCAGACCGCAGACCCACACTTTGCAGAGGAAGAGAGATAAGGCGCTGGAAAGCCAGCCCAAGAGATAAAGCCCAGGTCTGCGTGGCGTGAGTGGGAGGCCACCCAAAGGGAAGGTCCCTCTGGATTGTGGGGGAGCAGGAGCCTGGAAGGAGCCCTGGCCTAGGAGAGCAAGGGAAGACACAGCTCAACCTCCTGGCCAGCCTTGGAGCCAGAGCTTTGCAAGGCCTTTGCACCAGTGCCTCACCAAACTACAACTCTCAGGCTCCCATAGCTTTGAGCCTTTGTGGGTGAAGTCATGTATGAAGGAGATTTCTTTTGGGAGGAGGGGTATTCTGCCCTGTGTGAACTAGAGCTCCCCGAGACCATTCCAGGGTCCGGGCTGCCTGGAGGATACTGGGACTCTGGCCTCCCCGTCGACAGTTCAAGCCGCCTTGAACCTCTCTCTCTTTTCTTCATATAGTTCGTATTGCCAATATATGAGGAATGGGGAAGGAAGGGTCCAAGAGCGGAGGGAGAACAGGGGCACTTTTGTTTGTTTGTTTGTTTATTATTTACTGTATTTATTTACTGTATTTGTACACCACCTTTCTCAGCCCGCAGGCGACTAAAGGCGGTTTACAGGACAAAATTCAATGTCCACAATACCATAAATACAATTAAAAACATCAACATATAATAAAATCCATAACAAAGTCAATAAAACATAAATCCATAGTGTCTCCTTGTTAAAAACATTGTATAAATATGTGAGAGGAAGCCACAGGGAGGAGGAGGGAGCAAGCTTGTTTTCCGCTTCCTTGGAGACTAGGACGCAAGGGAACAATGGCTTCAAACTACAAGAGAGGAGATTCCACCTGAACATGAGGAAGAACTTCCTGACTGTGAGAGCCGTTCAGCAGTGGAACTCTCTGCCCCGGAGTGTGGTGGAGGCTCCTTCTTTGGAAGCTTTTAAGCAGAGGCTGGATGGCCATCTGTCAGGGGTGATTTGAATGCAATATTCCTGCTTCTTGGCAGAATGGGGTTGGACTGGATGGCCCAGGAGGTCTCTTCCAACTCTATGATTCTATGATTCCCAAAGCAGTTACTCTACTCCGAACTCAAGAATGCAAAACAAAATGCTGGTGGACAGGAAAAGAGAATTTAAAAAAGGGCTTAAAGACAACCTTAAAAACTGTGGCATGGACACTGAGAGAGAACTGGGAAGCCCTGGTCCTTGAGCGCTCTAGCTAGAGGTCAGCTGTGTCCAGCAGTGCTGCAGAATTCAAAGAGGTGCAAATAGAGGGTGAAAGGGAGAAACGTGCCAAGAGGAAGGCACGTCAAGCCAACCCTGAACCACCTTCCATCTGGAAACTGATGCCCTCACTGCGGGAGAACATGCGGGTCAAGAATAGGGCTCCACAGCCACCCACAGACCCACCGCCAAGATGCCACATCTGGAAGACCATCATCCTCAAGCTACGAGGGATCGCCTAAGTGAGTAAGTAAGTAAGGCTGTAAAGTCAACACAAGGCTGCCATTCCTCTTCCAATTTGAAAGGAACAGGTGACGGAAGGAGCTTTGCCAGTTTGTCCGTCATTGCCAGGTCCAACGTTTGTGGAATCCATAAACCTTGGCTGGGACCTGGGATCCCAATATGGGAGTAAAGCTACATACATGAGATGTGGGAGAGGGTGGCAATGTTTTCAGGCCCACCAGGTGGGCCAGCGCATCCAGACATGACATGGATTCCTCCCGCCTTGCTCGGATGCAGGCCCCCTCCCCAAAATCCGGCTGCCTTTGCTTTGGAGGAATTGCCCCCCCCCCCTCCAAGAGCCAGTCTGGCACCTCCTTCTCTGGGCAAAGGTGCAAATGGGGTGCAAATGGGGTGCCAAGGAAGGAAAAGGAAAGCAAGTATTTCAAGACCCCCCAGAAGCTGAAATGGCCTTTTGCAAAACTCAAGTCTTCCTTTAAGGGTCTTTTTTTTTTTTGGTGCATATTAATTTTTATTAACAAAAAGCAAAGGCAAACAAAGAGCAGATTTCCATAAGATAGAACACTAAAAGTAATAAATTTAACAGAACTCATTCTAAAACAGGCATACTAACCTAAGGCTGACCTAGAGCAATATTTGCATGCTGGACACACAACCAAGACAACATTCCCTCCCTCGCGGTTTTTATCCCTCCTGATTCTGCTCTCTTGGAGTGGCACGACAGAACCACACGTTGACACTTGGTAACACTCTCCCCATTCACAAATCCTGCCGTTGACATTTGCCCTTCGTTGCTGGAAAAAGGTGACGGGAAGCCCCCTTCTTTCTTGAAGATCATCTATTGATGGACATTCTAATGGAATTTGGGGGGGGGGTCTGTAGGCAGGGGCTGGACTTGGCCATGGCAACTGAGGGTTGTTTCTGCAGGAAGGGGGCTGGGCTAGATGCCCTCGGGGGGTCCCTTCCTCCTTCCAGCCTCCCCCCCCCCCTCACAGCACCACCAGAAGCAACACCATTTTCAATGCTTAGGTTAATGTTTGGCTGCGGGCTTCCGGGGTGGCAGACATGGAACAACAAACACGTCTTGACAAGGAAGTGAGGAGGGGTCTCCTGAGGATCAGATCCAGGCAGATGGGAAAGATGTGGATTCTGGAGGCTGCACCTCCCCAGAGGGACTCCTTTGGGAGGATGAAGAGGGATACAAGAATTGGTCCTGCTCCTTCCCTCATTACCATTTTTCCTTCCATCCTTCTCATTTTTCCTTTGATCCTTCTCTCCCCCCTTCCCATTTTTCCTTCCTTCCTTCCTTCCTTCCTTCCTTCCTTCCTTCCTTCCTTCCTTCCTTTCCTTCCTTCCTTCCTTCCTTCCTTCCTTCCTTCCTTCCTTCCTTCTTTCCCAGGAGCCTGGGACCCCCAATCGGGGTTCTTCTTTGCAGGAGAGCCAAGGCACGTCGGATCCTGTCCGGCCGGAGGGATGGGGCGGAGTGCAGTGTTGTGTGTCCGGCTCCAAATATTGCACTTGTCCCGGCCTCCGGCCCCTCATTCCTTCCTTCATTCCTTT